CCTTTTTCTACAAGAGAGATAGGGTGGGTTAAAGCGAGTATAGTATTTTCCCTCACACTTATACTAGTGGTAGGGTTCAAAAGCTATCTGAAATTGCTTCTTATGGAAGGAGACAGTTCCTTTCTCCAATTCTGGACTGACAAGCCAGAAAAAAAAGGGCTCAGTGTAACACAGCTTGAAATATCAGGAATACAGGAGAGGCATTAAAACTCCTTCCAATTTACAGATTTTGTCAGTGCCTGAGTATGCTCAATCTACACCAGGGATAGGCAACCTTGGCTCTTTTATGACTCGTGGACTTCAATTCCCAGAATTCCTGAGCCAGCCATGCTGAGGGGAAAGGGAGAGGTTTCCAACCTGAGCCATGCTGACTCAGGAATTCTGGGAGTTGAAGTCCACAAGTCATAAAAGAGCCAAGGTTGCCTACCCCTGATCTACACAGTAAAAGAGGGACCTTCATGACGTCCAGTGTATATTCCTATAGTAGACAAAGGGTAATGTTAAGGAGTATATACCAAAGTTATAGGATCTGAGTATCTGGAGGGGGCCCTAGCTCTTGCTGGGTATTATTTTTTGGGTACTTTCCTGCTGAAAGATGCTTTGACCAAGGCACAAGCATTGAGGTGCTCCGTAAGGATTACTTCCTATCCCTATGTGCTAGGGAGTCCCTAGTATCAAGGGCAGCTGAGTTAGCTGTGCTTATGGAGTGTGCCACCCCCATGAAACAGACTTTATCTTTAATCTCACAAATTAGTTTGATGTATGCTTCGATTCCCTTGGAAATCAGATTAGGAAGGCTTTGCAGCTGAAATATAAACGCTGAAAGTCAACCAGGATGTTTTCTACGGTTGTAAAGTCCTGTTTTATTTAGGTAGATTTTGATGGTTCATATAGCACTTCTATTTCAGAATTCCGCCTGGCTGTACTATTATGACTATTTCCAATTTCATCCCTTTCCATATTGGGTGTTCTGAGGACAACCCATGCAAGGGTTTGAACAGGGAATGACTGAGGGTTTCTGAGTATTAGTTCTATTAGAAGATAACTGTGGTCTTAATAACAGCCCACCTCAAGAATTTCTTGATAACTTTGGATAATTTTGTTATTTTATCATAGTCAGGAAGATAGTTCTACTCAATGTGTCAGCCTTCCCAGGTATATCAGATGAGAAACAGACCAGATGAGCGAGAATTTTGAACTTGGAAGGATGGGATTTGTACTTTGGGTGGCATGCTTATCTCTTTATGCAAAAAAAGATTGATAAAACTTTTAGAAATCATATAATAAGGGCTGCATTGTTGAGAGTTTGGCAAAAATATTTTTTCAAGTTTGATGTTAAACTTCCAATTTGGGTGATACCGTCACATATTTTTCTGACTATACCT